AGTCTTTCTTCCACTAAATATCAAGACAGAATATATTAAATATACAAGGCAAGCATGGTATTGACACTGAAACCAGGTATGTTGATCAATGTAATGTAACTGAATACCAATATGTTAGCCCACACAACTCCAAATAGATCAAAGACTTAAATATAAAACCAGATACACTGAACCTGATAGAAGAGAAACTGGAGGACAGCCTTGAATTCATTGTCACAGGGAAAGTCTTTCTGAACAGAACACTGATAGCACAGGCACAAAGATCAACAACTAATAAGTGGGACCTCATAAAACTGACAATCTTCTACATGCCAAAGGGTGCCATCATTTGAACAAAGCAGCAGCCTACAGCATGGGAAAATATTTTTACTAACTACACATTTAATAAAGGGCTAACATCCAAAATATATAAAGAACTAAAACAACAACAATAAAAACCAAATTTGGACATCAAGAAAACAAATAACACAATTAAAAAATGGGTTACATATCTAAACAGGAATTTTCAAAAATAGAAGCACAAATGGCTGAGAAACACTTAAAGAAATGTTTAATATCTTCAGCTATTAGGGAAGTACAAATCAAAACTACACTGAGATTTCATTTTGAACCTCTCAGAATGCCTAAGATCAATGGCGTGCATGTGGGTAAGGGGAGCACTCAGTCATTGCTGGTGTGAGTGCAAACTTGTACCATCACTATAGAAATCACTGTGGTGGTTTCTCAGGAAGCTGGGAAGAGATCTGCTTCAAGATCCCGGTATACCACTGTTGGGCCTATACCCAACAGCTATATGTCTTCTTACTACAGAGACACTTGTTCAACTATGCTCATTGCGGCTCTGTGCTTACAGCTAGAAATTGGAAACAGTCTAGATGTCTATCAACAGATAAATGGATAAAGAAATTGTGGTGAGCTTATACAGTGGAATTTTACTAACACACTAGAAAGAAGAAATTGTGAAATTATATGGTAAATGGCTAGAGCAAAAAAAAAAAAAAAACAAAAGACAAAAAACAAAACAAAACAAAAACCTCCCAAGTGAGGTAACTCAGACCAAGAAACAGAAACAAGATATGTATTTGCTATTATGTGGATGCTGGCTGTTAAGTCTTCAACAAGCAAGGTACAATCTGTATAACCACTGATGTTAGGTATAGAGTGAGGGAGAAGGGATTGATTTCCATAGGAAGGAAAAATAGAGATAGAAGGAGGGGCAGGAATGGGAAGATTGAGCAGGGAGGGAGGAGGCAGGTGAGAGGGAATACAGACATGGATAGCTAAAACCAAGGACTCTTTGGAGGGTAATATGGAAACCTAATATAGTAGAAGCTTTCTAAAATATATACTTGTATGAGGGCAATATAAATGAAATTACCAAATAATGGGGGGGGGAGACAGAACTCTTACTGAATGTCTCTTATCACCTAATGAAGTTTCCAGTAGTGGGAATGGGTTGTATCTAATTAATTTGTTGGCCAATGGGACCTCATGGGACTCCCCAAACAATCTAAGTGATTACCAGGCTATTGATTGCTCTACAAAGACTGATGGTAAGTTCCAGGCCCAGCAGTAGATGGCTAACACAAAATGAACCTAGGCATGTCTTTGCAGGCTTTTTGGTCTCATAATATTTTTTCAGGGCCTTAAAAAAACCTTGCAGGTCCTCTCTATACATATCATGGCTTCTAATTTTGCATTTTGTGGGATTCCTGAGTGCCTGGATATGTGTGCCTCTGCATCTATATGTGTTTCTTGTGCTTTTTCTTTGGTTCTTTTTCCTTGTTTGCTTTGTTGTATGCTGGGTTTTTTTATTTTTAATTTAAATTAGAAACAAGCTTGCTTCATATGTCAATCCCAGCTCCCTCTCCCTCCCCTCCTCCCCCACCCCCAACCCCTTCAACTCCCACCCAATCCCCACTCCAGTCTCCAGGGAGAGTAAGGCCCTTCATGGGGGATCTCCAAAGTCTGTCATATCATCATCTATCTGGGACAGGGTCTAGGCCCTCCCCCATATATCCAGTTGGTTTGTTTTTATTTTACCTTATTTTATGACTATTCTTTAGTTGCCTCTCTGTTTTCTAAGGAGAGACAGAGAGGGAGTAGAGTCAGATGGGATGAGACATGGGGAGGATCTTTGAGGAGTTGGGGAGGGTAAACTATAATCAGAATAAATTGAGAAAATCTATATTCAATAAAAGAAAAATGGAAAAAGATAGCATTTAAAAACTGAAACCCACTACTGAAACATTCTTCATGCCTGGGAAGCTTCTGTTTGGTTCTGGTCCCCTAATCGTGGAACCAAGAAAAACAGCTTTACATGTTCAACCTTGTATTTATTTATTTATTGACATGTTGACTGCCACTCCTCCCTCGGAGCCAGAACCACAATGTCAAAGATTTTGGCTGCTTGACAGTCTAGTGTTATTTAACTGATCTAATATAATAGGACAGCCCACCCAGAGCCAAATTAAATTGGAAGGCCAGCTCAGTGTGGTTAGCAGGAAGGAAAACCTTCCTAGACTCAGATTTAGTGGGGATATCAGCTGGCTCATCTCCTGTAGTGCCAGTAATGTTATAGTTTATAGCTTAGGGTGCAAACTCTAAAAATATGAAACAATGGAGAAAAGTGTTTTTTTTGTAGGACTCATATCAAGAGCTTAAATTTTTTTATTGATGTTCATTCTTTGTACATGGTGATGAATTTCACACAGACCTTTCACTCACATGTATCACACCTTTTGGCTGTATTCACTTGCATACTCTCCACTCCTTACCAGCCTCCTGGCTACTCCCCTCTTTTCCTCCAACCTCACCCCTGTTTTCTTGTTCTAGGCTCATATCTCTCTGCTCCTCACTCCACTCATGTATGATTTTACATATCTAAATAAAGTCCAAGATCCACATATGAGTGGATATATGGAGTATTAGTCCTAAGTTTGGCTCATTTTGTTTAATATAATGGTCCCCAGTTGTATGTTTTCTTGCAAAAAATAGAATTTCATTCTTCTTTATAGCTGACAAAACTTGATTCACTGTATATACACCACACTGCCATTCATGTGCTGACATACTTTGTATAGTGTAAGAAAAATGCAATTAAATTGCTTTGGAGCAGAGCATGAAGATTCCTGGGTAAATTCTTGAGTAGTAGCACTTCCCTGGCCAACATCTAAATTTGCAAAGAGAACAGGGAAGATCCGATCTGGAGGCCCATAGGAAAAAAGATGCTCTTTCCCATTTTAGTACTCAACAGCTCCTGTAGATAATGCTGAGCAATTATTTACAAACTACCAAGTTGTTGAAATTAATCTCAGTTTGAGTCCTCCAGCCACAGGTCCTAGATGATGCAACTAACTCTTCTAGCTGATGCTCAAACACTTACTCTTTCTTGTCCAGAGAAATGACTTTAGACTAGATGTAAGTCTCACTATCATTATCACTATTGGAATACCACATTTTCCGTTGAGGATTTCTGATATGTTAAGTGAAATACCAAGGATGTTGAACTAGGACACATTGATGATGCCCTTGTTGACTTCTGAAACACCATCCCAATTCATTCTTCCATATCATTCTTTTAAAAGGAAACTAATGCTATTTTTAAAAAAGCCTAACAGTGGTCTTAGAAGATGAGAGCTCATCTAATCATGTATACTTCCTCTTGAATGAGTGAGTCCCTCTGATCAATAACTACTTCTTAAAAACATCCAGCTTCTGCCCAGAGGAAGGAAAAGATATTAGTACTCACCCTGCCTATGATGTGTTCTCAATGGCTGCTAACTAACACTTACGTGCCTTTAGTAACTGGGGTTAGAAGATGCTTATGCATCCTTCTTTGTTAAGACATTTCCATTGTGCTTCCAGTTGACCAAAGCTTTGGTCGCTTGAACAGGAGCATTTCTGCTAAAGGTCTTGAGAGGTTTTTTTTTGGCTTGGGATTTTATGAGCTCTTCAAAAGCTTAGGGGAGAAGAAGTCAAGATAACATAGGAAATAAACCATTTCTATGTCACACAAGATGTGGACTTATGTTAAAATTTATCAGAAAATTCAAACTATCTGTAGGGTATCAGTTTGGCATGAAGGACACGCTCAAAGTTCTAAATCAGTGGTGATTTGGGAGTGGTGATGTCCTAGAAAATTCTAGCTGTTATGTTTTGATAGCCTGGTTTGTCTGAATAGAATTGTCTGCTTTTCCAGTTCAATTTGATTTCCTTCCTAAAAATCCTTTTATTAATTTTTAAGTTAGCATACAAAATGTAAGGTTTCCTCATAGAATGTCCTTATTCTTACTCCCATTCATTCCTCTCCTTGTTACTCCCTCCCTATTCCTTCTTCTGTCTCCCAAGGTTCCCTTGTTTTCCCAGTTTGTTCCAACATCTGTCCTCTCTCCCTCCCTCTTTCTTTCCTTTAAAATTTATTTATTTTTATGTATATATGTGTATTCGCCCATGAGGTTTTGTGCATCATGTGCAGAGGCCAGAAGAGGGTGTCTAATCTACCGGAACTGCAGCTGTAGACCGTTGTGAGCTGCCGTGTGTGTACGTGCTGGGAACTGAATCTAGGCTGTCTGAAAGAGTAGCCAGTGCTTCCTACTGCTGAGTCAGTCCTGCAGTCCTCACTTCCAGTCTCTTATTCTATTGCCATTTCTATTTCCTAACTCCCTTAAGTGAGTTTTCACAGGGTAGAGTTTAAGACAAAGGTATTTTCTGCCTCACCTACAATTTAGCTACTTTGCAACATTTTTCTTATAATTTTTGTGCCTAAATCCTAATGCACAAAGCTGTACAGGGTAAGACCAACTTCCCTGGGCCTTTTCTTTGTGACCCTAATTGTGGAGGGTCCTTGTTGTTGGCCGACTCCTGGCCAGTGTGAATGATTCTGTGAGAAATCCACAGAGATGTGGGCTGACTGAAAAGTCATGACCCACTGATGACTACGCAAACCTATTTGCTTCACTTTCTGAAGGAGACAGCCTCATAGAACTGGAAGGAGCACATATCTCTCTTTGTTTTATTTGTTTCAAATTAACAAGGTGAATCTTGGGAAAGACCAGAGAGTGAAGTAAGAGAAGAGAAAGCAAACTGAGGAGACCCTAAATTGTTGCCTTTGTTCCAGCCAAAACTGCTCATTGACAAAAAGAGCCTGTTACAAATAAAAAAAAGTTGTAAACCATCTATTTTGCCACGATTCATTATGACAAATATAACTGTGCTACGGGGGGGGGTGGTTGTTAGGAAGTATGAGAAATACTACATATTCCATTTTCATTATTTTAAGTTAGTCAAATCTATTTCTGGGTATCACGCTGACCTGTGATAAACCAAGGCTAGGTATCATCTACATTTACACTAACTTCCCAGAAAGGCACATTCTGTCTTTTGGCAGAGGTACTCAGTATGCTTGAGACAGACAAGGGACATTCTTTGGGAACAGTAGTGTCTTCCCCCCTTCAAAATGTTTCATGTACTGCAAAGTTGCTGCCATATGGTTCCCACAAAGGTTCTGCCAAAACTCCCCGGGTTCTCACGAGAGCTCCTTCTCCTCTGTTCTCTTAAGCTCCTGCTGCGGTGGCAGACATGGGAGAGACAGACAAGCTGCAAAGGGAAGCGGAGTCAAATTAAAGCCTCACAATTGCACGCGCTCGCTTGTGTAGTAGTGGATGGGGGGAACCCTCCCTCCCTCTGCTTGATGAGGTGGGTGTGAGATCCCACAGGACTGTCTGGAAGAGATCCCGTGGAAGTCACTGTATTTTGCTCAGAAGCTGGAGGCGAAGCAGAAGGCAAGTTAAAATTTGTCTGTTGCAAGGCCTGGGTTGGCTGGTGGAAGGGGGGTGTGCTGAGAGTTCAGGAGAAGTTTTCAGGGGTTTCAACTACACAGGGAAAAGGGCACAGGACTCAGAAGTGACCGTGAAATCACAGAAACTTATCTGCACGTGGAGCGCAATGCCATATAGAAATAGCACCACTCTGGTTATGTGTTGTGGCAGGTGGGAGTCGGGGAATAGGCTTTGTGTCTGAGTGGGTGCCCTACTGGGTTCTTGTCTCCTTTCTACCACTGTGATGATTGCTTGGAGTCCCTTCTGTTTTCCAGGGAGCTGTATTACACTGCTTTTCCCACCCACCACCCGACAATCTGTATATTTAAGTGAGGGGCAACTTCCTTCTTTTGAAACTCGTGAATTCCTTTGGAGGGTGAGCAGCAGCCTTTCAAAGACAGGCTCATGGAGTCTGTGCACTCAGAACACGCGCTACTGCTTGCTAATTATTTGAATGTACATTGCAAAATCGATTCCTTGAGATGGATGAGTACTCACTAGCTATGTTGGAAGGGGATTCACTTTTTAAACTTTGTATGTTTAAGGTTTAAATCTTTATGAACAATGTATACAAATTATACAAATCACCCATTTTACATTTTCCTGTGACTGTTGTATGTGAGGGGAATTTGTTGTTTTCTATTTATTAAAAAAAACAAAGGTCACACTAAAGATATAAAACCTGTAGTCCGGTCTTTCGGAGCAGATGTAGCTTCTAGCTTTGACCTGATGTTACTCCTTCCTAGTTGTTGCATTGTTTGGCCCATCCAGAGAAAATTCACCACATATGTCAGAGAATGACAGAGCGAGTTAAAGGTCACCAAGGAATCGCATTCACACTGGCCCTCACTGTATCTGTGTCAGTTTCTCGGGTGCCCTTTCCTGACTCTGGGAGATGTTTCTCCTTGCACTGAGCTATGGGGTAGAATTTGCAGGTCCTTCCTGCCCTCTCTGCATTAGTTTGGAGCATCTCTCTGGTTCAGGTGGCCTGGGGCTTCTACTTGATTTGACTAGACAGCGAAGAGCTCTCAGTTCTCTCTCTCCCTCCCTTCCCCTATTAGAACTGTTTCTGCATGTGTGAAGATGAGATAATTAAATACATCCTTGAAGGAGATAGAAAACAATAACACCTTCTGCCTTGACTTCTTCCGGGGAGTGAAATCCCTTGAACCACCAGGTTGTCTTGTCAAATGAGTTATTGTTTTTCAAAATATAGCCTGAATGGCATCCTTTATAATTAAGGCTTCTGGCTTTCAGTTTAAAGTGATATTTGCCAGTAAAAGCCTGCCAAAAAATAAATAAATAAAAGCAGGCTTACCGTTAAATATTGATTTAAGCTGGGAAACCGGCTCCAAATTTTGTTATACCAGTCCTGATCTCCGCGGCCTCTGGGCATCTGTTTCAATTTGGTCAAATTGAAATGGGGAGGGACAGTGCCAGGCTAACAGCAAGGTGATCCAATATAGTAGGATGAGTCGTATTTGATGAAAAAGAGCCAGGCATAGCCATCTATAGGTCCTGAGGATACGTGACCTGGGCTCCACCATCCTGTGGGCTGACGTGAGCGGGGGATTATTTTTATTTTTGAAATGTAAAAAGCATGTCAGAGTTATCTCTGGAGAGTGATGTGGCTTGTCTGTTTTCCTCCCATCGTCTCCTGCTCTGGATACGCTTTGGCTCCACCTTGTCTGGATGGACCCTTTTCCCCCCTCCCTTGTGCTGTAGGAAGGGATTTTGTTAAAAGACCAGAGACAATTTCTTCCCTGATATGAAACAAATTTCTCAATCCCTAATCCAAGCTTCACCCTCACTTACCGAGGGAGCCGAGAGGGTCACACAGGACTGAGCTCCTGAATGCACATGCTTGTGAAATATCATTGTTCATCTGTAGGTCTGGCAAGAGAAGGCAAACAAGAAGTGGGGGGAGGCTAAAGTTTCCTGAAAAAAATAAAAGGAGGGCATTAGGAGAAACTGAACTCTTCCACTGGGGCAAAGTGCCCGAGATCTATTAGTCTTGACAACCCCACTTACCCGGTGTCTCTTGTCATCTGTGAAGCGAACAAAGGCTGATAAGCCGTGATGAGGTGGGGTACTGGTTTGTATTTCCAGACTCATAAATATTTCACAGTACCATTTTCTTATAATCAGATACGTCAGTGTGCCAAACGTAGATGCGCCTGGATGTTCAAGCAGCGCTGGTGTTTAACAAAAGCCTTTTAAAGGCAACAGACACAAGGGTGGATAACACCGAGGTGTGCCTCTGGCTTGCTTGCTACTCGACCTGGCTTTCAAAGGCGTGGTCTAATTCTGGCAAAGGAGCTGGTATTTGACCTCCGGAAACTGCTGCCCTCTACTCAGAGAAATATGTGGTTAAGACTTCATAGGGACAGAATCATCGCTCTTAGCCAGGCACTCCCATTTCTTCTCATTCTCTAGCCCCGCCAATGCCCTTGTGTTTCTTTGTGCTTCACTCCGTGGATACTGGAATCAGGCACCAAAGGGTGATTTTAATTTGCAACAAAACTCTGACTTGAAAGAACTGCCTTTACCCACACTGGAGCACAACTACCTGCAATTTCCAAAGGCCCAGCCTTGTCTCACCCTATCACAGGCTCCGAATATTGAGCATCCCTCACAGCTAACCCCGCTACAACAGGAAGAGGGCAGCAGGCTTTCTCCCTGATGTAATCAAACCAGAGTATGCAGACACGACCTGATTAACAGCTCCAGTATTAATTTCTCTTTTTGGTTGCTTGACTCACAGCAAGAACCATGTCAATGCAGCAGAGAAGCAATTAAATTGATTTTAATCTCTGTCAGAGTAGATAGCGTGCCTCTTTCTCTTCTCATTTAAATAATTAGAGTTTCAGTAGGTATTATTTCTGGCTTTTAAAAAAATCGGTATCTTAATGTAATAGAACCCTTGTAATTATAAACTTAATGGCTCTTAATAAGTTAATCATGGCTTTTCACTTAACATGTATTTTTTTCTTATTAAAATTTTATTTTTGTCTTGTTTTTGCTTTCATTAATGACAGGGAAACACAAAGAATAATGGATAGAAAACAATTGCATCATTTCTCATCATGAAATCTTTTCAACAACTACCTCTTCCTCCCTTTGTGGTGTCCTGGATTTAATTTAAAGCAATATTTTCAGGTTTGGGACATTTAAGAGAAACATGATTCTTTAAACAAACAACCTGCTTGCTTTAATGGCAATGATCTTTGGCTTCTATGAGAATTTCCCTATAGGGCAATGTATGTTGTTAAATTGTGTGGAGTCCCTTGAAACATAGCATTCCATTAAAGTCATAGATAAACATTTTTTAAAATTGCAATCGGGAAAATTGTAAATTATTTTATTCTCTTTGGTATTCAGTCAGATATTGGGAAGTTATCTTATTTCTCATGATATTATTGTAAAATGTATTTTTAAATGTACATTTCAGAGAAAAGGAAATAGGAACAAAAGTCAAGATCCAGTGGGCCTTCTTCATAGATGTGGAAATTGGGCAGTAAGACATCTATAGGTCACAGGTGCCTGAGCACTGTGTCATAGTGCTGCCAAGGGATGAGTGACTGGTTTCCAACACAGACTCTGATGAAAGTGGATTTTTCTCCCAGAGGCTTCAAAGATGCTTTGTCTTTTGGATACTGAACACTTGTCTATCAAGGGGTGAGAGAACGTAGCACATCATATACTGTGAGTCCTGGACCAAAAATGTTGACCTTAGAGAGAGACAAAGCCAGCCAAGAGCTGACCCATTCCCTAGTGTTGGAGGGATACAGCTTTTTGGAGAAATTAATTGATGAAGACTGAACTCTTAGATTGGAATTTGGGAAAGAGAGCAACTAGTTTATCAATATTGCAAACTGACATGTGTTTTGGGAAGACAGATGACAGAGGCACTTCTTGAAATGGCCAGCAATAAAGCAGGTTGACAGCCATTCTCTTCCCCTGTGTTTCCTCAGTGTTTGCTCTTAGCTGACCACTGTGTGAAACATCCATAAGCCAACTCCAACTACTCCTGAAGGAAACTTAGAAGCAGAGGCTGGGTCTGTTACTGGTGGAGCAGAGCAAGTGATAAGCATAGATGGTAGCATTCTAGAGGCAGGAGGGGCCCACTAAGCCAGTGTTAGACATTTGCCATTTGACAACACAGACAGCATGCTTGGAAACATCCTCTATATCCACCCTTTCTAGTGTGAGCAGAAAGCAAGGCTGTCACCAAAGACACATATACAGTTCTCTGTAGGGAACATATTCTATTCATTCTTAGCCTTGCTTGTCAGAACCCTATATAACCATTTTCCATGAAGACTCTGGAGCCCAGTGTGTTCAAATGTACCTTGGACAGGAAGTATTTTATAGGAAAATGAAGGCAGGCCTGACATAGAGGTGTGTGTGTGTGTGTTGTGTGTGTGTGTGTGTGTGTGTGCACATTAGTGCAGGGTAAGGTGGGGTGGGTGTGGGGCTAGAGTCATATCAGGGACAGAAAATTCGAGGCAAGGCTCTGAAGGTGGCTGAGATGAGAGCAGGGTGCTGTGGGGAGCTGTTCAGTCCCATTTCCATGTGGGTGTTCCTGGAGAAGGCCAGCAGGCAGTGGCACTACACCTTCCCTGCAGGAGCTGCAAACATTTTTCCATCTATTCCATTCGACCCTCAAACAAATTTCTTAAATTAGGTAATGGGAAAGCTGACCAAGTGAAATCTGTGGAGGCAGAAACTTGAGGACATGGAAGTAGCTCAACCTCTCTGTAGTCACAGGAGTTGGGAATCATTTTCCTTTCCTCCCCAGGCAGACAAGCACACTTTTTCTTTTCATTTGTTTTTTTTCTGGTTTCTCTGTGTAGCTTTGGAGGAAGTCCTGGAACTAGTTCTTGTAGACCAGGCTGGTCTTGAACTCATAGAGATCCACATGCCTCTGCCTCCTGAGTGCTGCGATTAAAGGTGTGTGCCACCAATACCCAGCCCAACAAGGACACTTTAAGGGACAATAGGTCCCTTAATTTCTCTCCACTGATAGTGAAAATGTGAAAACTTTTTGCAAGGTGGGGACCAGGTATACAAGACAATGGGAAATGTCTATGAGTATTTATAGAATGAATTTGTCTTTGTCTCAGTAGTATCTTTAAAGCAGTAAATTTAAAAAGAAACAGCATTTCTCTGCTTATTTAGAATACATCCACAGTGATGAAGAAATAGTTACAGTATTTACTGTAGTACAACTTGTACTCTGGAAGAGTCCATTAAATGAGTAAGGAACCAGCACACACACACACACACACACACACACACACACACACACACACACACAATGTATATATATATATGTATTGTGGAAAAATTAAAGATGGGTTGTGATAAAGACTAGATAGATGTTTTGGAATGTGAAAGGGGAGCTTCTGAGGTAGTATTGGACTGAGATTTTCATGTCATAATTCAGTTACGTTGGGCTGGGGAGATGGCTCATGGGCAAAGAGCTGGCTGTGCAGGAGTGGGGAGCTCGATTTGATCTGTAGAATTCAGGGAGAGCCAGAGGCATTGGTGTGTGTCTGTACTCTCGGCTCTCTCCCAGATGGGAGGTGAGACAGGAGAATTTCTGGAAGCTTGTGGGAGAGTTAGCTTGGCACATGCAGTGGCAGGCAAGGTGAAAGGCAGGCACTAGCGCCTGAGGTTGGCTTCTGATCTTTCACATGTGTGTCTCGACTTTCGCGTGTAGTCCAGAGACAAGGAAATACAGAAAAGTTCAATGAAGTGGCCATCTTCATTACATACAAAATTCATCTAGAAGGTATGTACACATAGCTCACAGGACTCAACACTGCATTATAGAACTATAATAAATACCCAGTGCTGCCAAGACATGAGTGGATGATGGACACCCACAAACACGCACGCCTGCGTGCACACACACACACACACACACACACACACACACACACACACACATGCACATTATTCACTCACACACAGAGGGATAAGAAATTTGAAAATGGGAAAAAGCCTGCTATGCTTGAAAAATAGAAAACAAAACAAAAAACCAGCTGAGTCAAGGCCAGATGGGCATAGGCAAGTGTGGGTGTGGAGGCAAAGAGAAAGGTTTTGGGACAGTCATGTCATAGGGTGGCATAATGGCAGTAATTTAGCTAACATTGGGTTGAGGTCCTGGCAAGTGTCCCTCACTGGTGGCAGAGAAATAATCCATGTGAGGTGAAGAATGAAACTTGGGTCAGCACCACTTTAGCAGGCTCTGGGTCAAAAGCTCCCAGGGTAAGACCAAGTGGTTTATTTTTCTTACACATTTAAACACAGTACAACTTTGGGAAAAGGTTTCCATGTGACAATTACCACAACAAAGCTTCAGGGATGGCTACATGAAAACTCCCTTCCAAAGTGTGTCTCTAGAGCAAATTCACCTGTGGATTCTATTGACTGATGAACAGTGTCCAGGTAAGGCCTGGGGAGGAAGGATTTGTAATAAGCATAAGGATGGATTCTGTTGATGGAGGATACAAAGTATGGGTTCTATTCACTGAGAGACAAAGCTAAGGATTAGGGTCTAAACGATGCTCATGGTTTTGGAGGATTCAGGTGAAGCCTGGCTGCACAGAATAGCAAAAGATCACCAGGTTGTTAGGTAGCATCCATTCCAATTTTCTGGGTGAACAGATAGTAATCATTTCCTTCTCTTGAAGCTAAAAGTCTGTGTGTTTAACAACTCTGAACTTCCTAATGTTTTCTGTGAGTTGTGCCTTCTACAACATTGCCAGGGTATTAAAATACCACACAGCAGGAATTCTCTTAAAAACTTCCCTCAAAATTAAAGCTGTTTGCACCCCAGGAGCACACATGATGAGACAAGCCATAGAGTGAAAGAGAATGTTGAAATATCATGTGTCTGATTCTTTGGTATAGCATATGTAACAAATCCTTACAGTTCAATAGTAAAAAGATAACCAAGTATAAAAATGGACAAAGTATCTAGGTAGACATCTCTCCAAGGAGAAGGTAGTTGTACAGGGCTAATAAACAAATGAAAAGACTCTCTTTGTCACTGGTATTCAGAGAAATGTAAATCATGAGATCTTCCATTCTCAATAAAATGGATACAATAAGAAATGTCAGGAGCTGGCAAGAAAATTAAGACATCAAGACACTCATAAACTTCTGGGAATGATAATATCCCTTAAAATTGCAATCCTAGGTCTATACTCCTCCCAAATGAAAGAAGACCTCTTACATAAACTTGTACACATGCAACACTAGTCACAACAGCTGAGAGGTGGAAGCAACCCAAGTATCCACAGTGACAAATGGATAAATTGTGATGTATACATCTGATGGAATTTTATGTGAGAAATAACTTCCAGCTCACACTACAATATGGATGAACCTTTGCAAGAACTTGGTGTAAGAAGCCACTTATAAATGCGTCAAGAAACTCCATCAGTATTGAATTTCTGGACCAGGGCAATTCGGAGAGAAGGAAAGGAGATGACTCTCAGAAGATGGGGGAGTGGGAGAATAAGGATTGATATTCAACGGGTACAAGGTTTCTATTTGAGGTGACACAATTGTTCTAAAATTGACTATGGCTATGGTGATACATACACAAACCAGTTGAATTGTAAACCTGATACAAATACACTCTGTGGCATGTGGATTTTGTTTAATAAAACTGTTGA